GCAATGTGCCCTCGGGGCCAAGAAGGCCAATGGCATCCTGGGGTGTATTAGAAGGGGGGTGGCTAGTAGGTGGAGAGAGGTCCTCCTGCCCCTCTTCTCTGCTCTGATGAGGCCACATCTGGAATTGTGTGTCCAGTTCTGGGCCCCTCAGTTCAAGAAGGACAGGGAACTGCAGGAGAGAGTCCAGCACAGAGCCACAAAGATGATGAAGGGAGTGGAACATCTCCCTGATGAGGAAAGGCTGAAGGAGTTGGGTCTCTTGTGCTTGGAGAAGAGGAGGCTGAGAGAGTCTTTCGAGAAGAGGAGACCTTATTAGTGTTTATAAATATATAAAGGGGGAGTGTCACAAGGATGGAGCCAGGCTCTTCTCAGTGGCAAACAATGATAGGACAAGGGGTAATGGAATCAAGCTGGAACATAGGAGGTTCCACAAGAATATTAGAAAAAACTTTTTCCCTGTGAGGGTGCCAGAGCCCTGGCACAGGCTGCCCAGGGAGGGTGTGGAGTCTCCTTCTCTGGAGACACTCAAAACCCACCTGGATGTGTTCCTGTGTGACCTACTGTAGGTGATCCTGCTCTGGCAGGGGGCTGGACTGGATGATCTTCTGAGGTCCCTTCCAGTCCCCGGCACACTGTGATATCTCCTACGAATCACTGTTGTGTTCCTGAAGTGAAAGGTTTGGCTGTGTAGGAAGTAACACACACACCTCCCAGGCAAATAGAGAAAACAAACAAAAAAATCCCACTCAAACCCATTTTATGCTAACTTTCCCTCCACTAAAAATGCATTTGGACAATCACTAGAAAACAGCAATAAACTAAAACTATTTGGACTTCATGTCAGTTACATTTTAGTTTTACATTTAGTTCTCATTATTACCTGTATTATGCCAGGCCATCAGAAAGTCAAATTCTAAAGGTTTCTTTTCTTTCAAGGCCCAAAGCACTCTGTTATGTTTCTTGCTCTCAGGGTGAAAGCCAGAATCAGTCAAGTCTATAGTTATAACTGCAAAAACATAGAAAAGCCATAGTTACTCAGCTGAAACAAATTTTAATATTTCATTCATTAAAAACTAAAAGAACACAAAGGAACCAAAGAACATTACACTTCCTTTTCACGTGTACAGCATCTTTACAAAGTACTTGATTATGCAAACATGACTGTGCATTATGTAAATAAATATTCACCTCCTGCTGTCCTTATTTTGATATAACCTAGAACTGCTTTCTAGCAGCTGGAGGGACAGATTCCTTTTGTAATGGCCCGGACAGAAGTACCAAAACAGCACCTCAAAAATATCCTGGTAATCAGGCAAGCTACTAGCCCTAAAAAAATCTGGAGTTTAACATCATGTATATGGCAATGACACTCTTTCAACTGTTTTTTTTTTTCCTAGATTAATTGCTGCCAGGCTAAAATGTACATTTATTTTTCAGACGGAAATTGCATCATACATTTTGCTTGACAAATTGAGTAGTAAGATGACGTCCCATTTTGCCAAAATTCTTATTTCAGATAACAGGCTTCCCTTTCTAAAGTTTTTATGTACCACCTATTAAGTACTGCAATATACCTTTGAGATGGCATAGCGTTGATGGGGTTTTTATTTACTTATCAAAAAAACCCCCCCAAAATCGCTCTCAGTGTATCTCCTCTGCAGCTGTTAAAAAATTACATTTTCCAAGTACTTGGTATATAGACACCACCACTTTCAATGTGTTAAATTTAATCCAATTTTCCCTTTCCAACAAGCAGTCTTGGGTAAGGTTCTTCACTGTTGGTTGTTTTTTTCGTTTCTTTGTATAGTCTGCAAACTTTAAGCTCTACCTTAATTAGTTGAATATTTTCTAATTTAAATAAGAAGGCACAGATACTGTGCACAGTATACAAAAGCTCTTGAGTTCTACATCACTCTAGTAAAAACAATAATGTAAAACCTAGAAATTAAAAAATTTATAGAACATAAGAAAACAAATGTGTGATCCTTTGGGTAAAACCTTTATTATTTAGAAAAATTATTTTTTTCTCTTCATTCAGTCCTTTGCCCTGCATCTGGAAAATTATGACCTAGACACTAACCAATTTTAAGGAAAGGGAAGTTTCAGTATTGCTGATTTAACATCCAACAAGGTGCTTCACAGACAGATCTGAAATAAGCACTGTTAATATAAATAATACTTACTATATCTCATTGCTTTTTTGCCAGAATACTGCGAAGGGCGACCTTGCAGCCCAAGTTCCTCAAAAGTATCCTTATCCACTGATAGAATTAGCTTTCCTATAAACAAAGCAAATTTTAATACAAATAATCTTCTACTTAGTTCCCTTGGAAGTCTTCTGAGAACCATACACCTTCTAGAATGTTACTTTTGGATCAGTGGTATTACTAACGTAATCCAGACTCCTTAGGTCCAGCTAAACGGATTAGCAGATCAACCCTTAAAAAAAAAAGTTAAAACTCAATTATTCTTTTTTCTGTCACAGACATCTTACGAACTAGAATGAGAAAAGGGTAGTATTATCCCTGCGACAGTCAGCTTTTTGTACCGTACTACCTCGCTCCATTGCCTCAATCCTTCCTCCACATGTCTCCCAGCATTTGCTGGGTCACCAGTTGAACACGTTACACTAGGGCCTGACTCAGTAACTGGTCCTGTGCGCGCTGCTCAGCTACGTACACAGAGGCAGCTCCTCCAGCTGGACTAATCACACTGAGTAAATCATGCTTATGCGCGATGAGCAGATAAGCGCCGGAACTACTCTGCTTCCACGTTCATAAACCAGATCTGGCAGCTGCCACTTGGTGCAGAATTTCACACACAAGATCTCTTCTACAGTCTTAGAGTATCATATAAAACACAAGCCAGCAAGGCTGATGCTGAAGATTTCAGACACTGACATCACCAGGAACCGGAACGCTGTCTCGGCATTAATCGTGCGTAGCTTGTAATAACTGCTTCATACAAACTCAGCCACTACCACGTATCCGTTTCGCTAGGACTGTGCTAACAGTGCACATAAAACAATCCCTCCTCTGAAGAACCTGAATTTACTTATGCCCTGATGGGCACCTGTCATATTACAGGGTATTAGCCTAGAGAGGTTGCACATCAATTTGTGTTTCTGTTATATCTGATATGCTGTTAAATGGAAATAAGAAAACATATTGGAAGCCCCAAATATAGTGTAAAATCCCACCTGAGATGGAACATTTTGTCATAAAACTCTGACAGAACTGCAATATGGTATTTTAACAGGTCACATAATTATCAAAGAATAAACACTGAATATTTAAAAAGTGTTTCTAATCAGCACTGATCATTTTCTTTGCTGGCACAAATTCTGTTTTTAAGAAGCAGGAAACACGAAGTTGGAATGCAATGCTTTCACAATAATAACCTTCTGTAGCAATTGCAATTATGGCTGAAGCACTGAAAATCTAATACTACACATCAGTGAATTTCGTTTTCTTTTTAATTTCCTTTAAATAAATAATTTAACAGCATGAATAAAAAAAGTTAAAACGAACGAATATTTTTCCAAATCGAACATATTTCTAATAAAGCTAGGACGTAAAGTAAGCATTAAGTTTTCCAGTTCACATAATTCCAAATGAAAAAAACAAAAACAACCCCCAGAACACCATCAAAATGTATGTATCACTAAAGCCAAAACATACCATTTGGTAGCAGAGCTGCAGTATTATCTTGATCAATTTTTGTGTTATAGCTAAGTGCGTAGCATGAACCTTCAAGAGTAAAGCAGAAAACCATGAGATTACACAGCTTCTAAAGACAGACATGAAAAATATGAAAGATTCACCTCAAGATAAGTGAACATGCCAAATACCATTTCAATCACTCTAAACACTTGTATTTCCATCAACTAACTTTGTTCCACTTTTCAAGCAAAATAGCATTTTGTTATTATTTTTAAAAACCTTGGACTGGCACTATTTTAAAGGATTTTAATAGATCTAACATCAACAATATGGCCCAATATGAAAACACTTTCTTCCCACCTGCAACATTCCTCAAACAGCAACTGGAAAACCCATTTTTCCCCACACATTTCTATTATTAGTTCACATGAAGACAAGGCGGAAGATGTTAACACTACTAAAAGTATTTCGTAGCACTATCTGCCACAACCGTGTTCTTAAAAATACAAGAGCCTGATCCCGTAAACCTGGTGTACAATGTCATACCACTTCCATAAAACTAGTGGCAGAAAAGCCATTAAGAAGGCTAAAGGGAGTTTCACCCACGTGTTCTTTTTTCTCCTCTCTTCCCTTTAAAGCTCTTTTTCTCCCTGACAGTCATCTGAAGGGTACAACATTAGAATTAGAAAGGGAGAAGGGGAGGTGATTCCTGTAAGAACCCATATAAAGGTGAGATGGCTTGCAGAATTAAGAGGGAATAGGGAGAAATGAAGGGGGAGCAATCATACAGGTTTCTGACCCATTGGGCATAAATAAATGTTGACAGCCCCCAAAGCAGAAAAAAAAGCCATCCCTGGAAGTTTTTAAGGCCAGGCTGGATGGGGCTCTGAGCAGCCTGGTCTAGTGGGAGATGTTCCTGCTCATCGCAGGGCGGTTGGAACTAGATGATTTTTAAGATCCCTTCCAACCCTGACAATTCTATGATTCTATGATGTAGAATTTTCTTAGTATTTTTTAAAATACTTTTCAAAATAAATAATAATTAATGGATTTTACTGTGTTATGAAAAAAAATACAGTATTACCACATCTATCATGTTCTAATTACCTCCTTACCTTTCTTCACAAAAGCATCAATGAATTCGTGAGCGATCAATTCATGAACCAATAAATTCCTCACCAGGTAGTACTCTCCAACATCTGCAATAGTACTTTTCAGCACCTCAGGTAGTATGCCACATTCAGGGATCAAAAAAGACACCTAGCAGGAACAAATTGGTAAGGTAAGTCATATCCTAAAATCTGTTCTGGAAGAAAACTAAGAAATTAAAGAAAAATTCTTCTTTTCAAAGAAATCAGTATGTTACACCAGAACAACATGAAGAAAAGATAATTTCAACCTATTGCTTTCAAAATATATCAATTTGCAAAAAAAGTTTCCAAGTACAGCAAAGAGGTTACTTGGTTTTTGCATTTTACATTCTGTACAACAGCATTTGAAGCACAACATAAAGGCACAATTTTATACAGCATGACTTAACAAACGATGTTGTTTCACACAATTATAAGTTTAGCTTGCAGTTGCACTGGAACATTTACTTGCTGCATGAAGCATTTATCACAAAAATGTAGACTATGCTCTCATGTAACCTCAGTGGAAACCTGAAGACCAAAGTTAAACGAGTTTTTGAATTCTCTGCAGAATATTTTGATGATCAGGATAGCGAACAGACCATCAGAACAAAACTTGAAGACTGGCTTACCATCTTCAAAAAAGTCAAAAGGCACGTGTTAAGGCTACAGCTTCTGTAGCAGGTTTCTAGTTTAAGGCAGGAAACTAATTTTCAAAAGAGATGAGCACCAAGCTTTTCCTACTAAACTCAGCATTTGGACTTTGCGTCCAATTGCCTATCCTTTATCACTCTTTTGTTTAAAATCTTTCCTGTAGGTGTTCCATTGTTCTAGAGAACTCTTAAATCTGAGAGACCACGGCAAACAAGGTTATTACGCAGGCAAATATCAAGCTTCCCAGTAACCACACACAAGCAGCAGAAAGGTTTGTTCTCCTGCTCCTTCCCACTTCACCTCTCAAAAAACCCTTGTTCTGAAACAAAGGAGCTCACAGAGCACAGGTACACATCTCCCTCTGCACATGCACACAAGAGAAGTAACAACTGACTGATGGGCTGCCTGCCACACACAGGCTCATCGGAGTTGGAAGGGACCTCTAGAGATCACTTAGTCCAACCCCGTCGGTAAAGCACGACTGTCTAGAGCACACTCCACAGGCCTGCATCCAGGTGGGTTTTGAACGTCTCCAGAGAAGGGGCCTCCACAACCTCTCTGCGAAATCTGTTCCAGTGCTCTGTCACCCTCACAATAAGGAAGTTTTTCCTCATTTTTAGATGGAACTTCCTGTGTTCTAGCTTCTGCCCATTGCCCCTTGTCCTGTCACTGAGCACTGCTGAGAATAGTCCATCTTCATCTTCCTTGCACTCATCCTTTAGATATTTATAAGGTGTCCTCTCAGTCTTGTCTTGTCCAGGCTAAATAGAGTCATAGAATCGTATCAGCTGGAAGAGACCTAGAAGGTCATTGAGTCCAGCCTTTGTCCCAGCCCTATCAACCTACTAAACAATTCCTCCCAGCACAACATCCACTCATCTCTTAGACACTTCCAGGAATATCTCTTAGACACTTCCAGGAATGTCTCTTAGACACTTCCAGGAATGTCTCTTAAACACTTCCAGGAACGTCTCTTAAACACCTCCAGGGATGGTGACTCGACCACCTCCCTGGGCAGCCCGTTCCAATGGCTGACAACCCTTTCAGTAAAGAAATTCTTCCTAATATCTAACCTCCACCTCCCCTGGCGCAATTTAAATCCATTTCCCCTCATCCTATCACTCTCCACTAGGGAGGACAGACCAACTCTCGCCTCTCTATAACCTCTCTTCAGGTAGTTGTAGAGAGCGATGAGGTCTCCCCTCGATCTCCTCTTCTCTAGGCCAAACAGCCCTAGATCCCTCAGCCTTTCCTCATACGACTTGTGTTTAAGTCCTTTCCCAGCTTGGCAGCCACCTCTGTACCCTCTCCAGCACCTCAGTGTCCTTCTTGTAGTGAGGGGCCCAAAACTGGGTGCAGTACTCAAGGTGCAAATGGCCCCAGCACCTTCAACCTTCCCTTGCGACAGAGATGCTCCAGTCCTTCAACCTCATTCACTGCTCCCTGCTGGACGCTCTCTGGGAGTTCCCCATCTCTGCTGAACTGGGGAGCCCAGAACTGGACACGGGGCACACTGGAGACACACGCTGCCTCACCAGGGCAGGGCAGAGCAGACGGGGACGATGACCTCCCTGACCTACTGGCCACACTCTTCTTAAGGCAGCCCAGGAGATATCACCGGCCTTCTTGGCCACTATCGCTGGGCCATCGTAGTGTTTACCAGGACTCCAAGCAGAGAGATTTCTAATCAGCTGCTGAAAAAATTACTGAGGAAATAGCAAGAGGGTCTGATGGACACTCGCAACGGGCAGTGACAGCAAGCTGGCAAAAGCTGGCCTTCACAACATTCAGTTGTCCAAGATGATGAAGCAGCTGTCGATGACAGCAGGACGTGAGGAAGCTCTGGCTGCATAAGAGACAGCACAAAACAGGGCTTCCAGAGGGCAC